TTTTGCGTGGAGCGACTTTTTTCAGTTTCTCCTTTTTGGAGCTACGAATCATGATCATGATTCTTCCCCAAATGTATGGGACAGAGAGAGGCTTCGATTATTCAAGGGTGTAGCTTACACAACTGTGTTATATGACTTTTGAGCATTTATAAATTATTCTGGTGCTCCTTTTACAACCATTGCCATTTTTTACCTCAAATAAGGATTGCACATAAGATTGCGATGTTATATATAAATCCCAATAGATACTTTTGGTAAAATATAAAAAATGTAAAAAAAAAAAAAAAAAAAAAAAAAAAAAAATCTAATAATAAATTACTTTCAATTTGTTTCCGCAGGTAGGATTTGTTAATTTTATTTTATTTCATTTTAATTTGAACATCATGTTATGCAGTCCCTTTCGCACAAACCTTTTTTTTTTTTTTTTTTTTTTTTTTAAATTTATTTAACGTTATATATTATATACCCATTTTTTTCACATTTGTACGTATTTTTTTTTTTTTTTTTTCTTTTTTTGAACTCACATTTTAACACATTCCCTCTCCTGTTCCACTATTATCATCACGTGATTTTTTAAAAAAAATAATAAAAGAATAGAGGAACATTTTAGTGGGAAAATATATATCTCCGTCACATATAGTGACTTTATTATATTCCTCTAATATTATAGGTATACTGTTTAAATGCAGCTTAACTGTGATGTATTTATTTTCATGTATGTTGATAAAGTTGCGTTTTGCATGCCCTGTGTGTTTCACCATAGGGTATTTTTATATGTATATGGCAATGGCAAATTATATAGAGTAGAGGTTTGTGTGTATACACGTATGTACGTATTATGTATGTATATTTTTTTTTTCATATATACTTATGCGTATGTTTACATTTTGTATAAATAAATATATAGCCTTACTAGCGCACCAAGGCTTTCAAGTTATTTTCTATGTATGTGCACACATGTTCATACTGCCACTAGAGAAAACCGTTCCTTTTTTTTTTTTTTTTTTTCTTTGGATGGGAAAAAAAAAAAAAAAAAAGTCCCATAAAAACAAAATGTTATGAGTCGAGTTTGTTGTTTTCAGTTTTCCCCATCCCTTCTTGGTATTAGAGGAACCCAATTGGTTTTAAGCAAGGACAAACGAAAATTTAGCGTTAATCAAATGGAGCAAAGAAATGAAAAAAACAAATAACTCGCTTCTCCACTTTGGGGATTATTCTGTATTCAAGGGTTTAGGAGGACATTTGAAAATTAAGCTTGTGAAATGAGTCCTCCAGTTGGAAAAGAAAAGTGTGTGTTCTTCTCCCTTTTGTGAGAACATATTTTTTTCTTTATTTTTCATCATTTTTGAAGTTTTCCATTTGTCAATTTTTAACATACGGGTTTGAAATTTATGTTTTAATCCATATTTTTCACGTTTTCTATCAGCGGTGGTAAATAGATCTACCCCCTCGATGAGAGGTACTGGTGCAAGTACCAAAAAAAAAAAAAAAAAAAAAAAAAAAAAAAAAAAAAAAAAAAAAAAAAAAAAAAAAGTATTAACATTAATATATTAATGTTAGCTTTTACCTTAACATCAGCATTCACAGGGTCATGCACGAAGGCAAGAAAATGCACAATGTTGCATACACTCTGATGTATGCCATGCAGCAAACTCCCTTTTTCCTGGGGGTCGTGTGCACGCTAGGTTCTCGGTGCAACTCCACGTCAGGGAAAAGGCAAAGCACCTGCCCATAGGACAACATCCTGCTTTAACTTTTGAATATCTGAATTTCCCTCCAGACCCTTTTTAAAATCAACAAGTTTTTTTCCAAATTTTTCTTGTATTTCGACAGTTACATGTATAGCTTTAACTAAGATGTTAGCAATGAATTCCATATCTTTTTCTTTGGCACCTCTAGTAGTCATAGCAGGAGTACCTATACGAACCCCACTTGGTGATACACAATCTACATCTGAAGGAATTGTATTTTTATTCAATGCAACATTAATAGCATTACAAGTTTCCTGTAATTTCGAGCCGGTTATGCCATATTTTCTAAGATCTACAACAATGAGATGATTATCCGTTCCATTTGTAACGAGGTCTATGTTATTATTAATTAAATACTTAGCTAATGCTTTACTGTTAAGTAGTACCTGTTTTGTATATTCTTTAAATGTTTGTGAATGCACTTCTTTCAGTTGACATGCAACAGCAGCAATTTTGTTATTATGAGGACCTCCTTGAAAACTTGGGAATACAGCACTGTTAATCTTTTGATCAATTCCAGGGTTTCTTTTTTTATTAAAAAATATTAAAGCGCTTCTTGGCCCTCTTAGTATTTTATGTGTTGTTGTTGTAACTACATCAGCATATAAAAATGGATTATTTAAATTTCCACATGCAACAAAACTTGAAATATGTGATATGTCTGCAAGTAAGTATGCATTCACTTCATCACATATTTCTCTAAATTTTTGGTATTCTATATCTCTTGGATAGCTTGTATAACCACATATTATAACCTTTGGTTGAAATGATAAAGCCATTTCACGAACTGCATCTAAGTCCACATATCCTTCACTATTACATTTGTACAATTTAGATTCAAACATATCAGAAGTAATGGATACTTTTTTTTTTTCATCAAAAAATCCATGAGTTAAATGGCCACCAGAACATAAATGCATTCCCATAATTTTTCCTTTCACTCCAACTAATGCATATAGAGCCTGTACATTAGCAGCTGATCCTGATAACGGTTGTACATTAACTCCCCAATCATCTTCACTTACATGGAAAGCTTCCAGGGCTCTCTTCTGGCAAAGCATTTCTATCTTATCGATGTAATCATTCCCACCATAGTACCTCTTTCTAGGGTACCCTTCTGAATATTTGTTGCTTACACGATTTCCTAGACATTCACGAATTGCATTATTCGTTAGGTTCTGTGAAAGTGGTGGATGTGTAATAAATGCAAGGTGAATATAATCAAATTGTCATAAAAATGAACTTTGCACATAAGTAGAGTGAAAATCTCAACATTTTACTCTTTTTTTTTTAATACTGAATTGAATGGGAATATATATATATATATACCTCCGATGCTATAAGGTTTATGGTCTCTCTTTGTCTTTTTTCTTCATCTGCTAGAATGTCATACAGCTCCTTGTCGATTTTTTCCAGTGGTTCATTATTAAACTGTGGGGAGGAAAAAAAAATAAAATAAAATAAATACAAGCAAAAAAATAAAATAAATACAAGCAAAAAAATAAAATAAATACAAGCAAAAAAATAAGATAATTAGAAGCAAAAAAAATAAGATAATTAGAAGCAAAAAAAATAAGATAATTAGAAGCAAAAAAATAAAATAAATACAAGCAAAAAAAGTATAAAAAAAAACTCCTAAGATGGATATTCTCGCTATGGTTTCCTACCGATCAAATGTTAATTTTTTCCCCTTTTTTTCTATTTCGTTTAAGGGTGTTTATATATTACCATTTTTCTGAGAGAGAGTTGACACAAGGATTAGTGAAACAAAATATTGGAAGGGAGATTAGTATGTGACACTTTTTCTTTTAATGTGTGTTTTTTATACTTTTTAAAACGGCCAAGATGGGTTATCTTTTTTTAGGTTCTTGCAAAACAGTTCGTATAAACACAAAAGGTGATGATGGATGTGATTGTGTGTTGGCTTTTTTTCACAGTGTATCTTCTTAGCATGTTAAAAAAAAAAAAAAAAAAAAAAAAATAGCTAGGACAAAAAAGGGGGAGAGGGTTCATTACAAAATGCTGAATTGCCCTTCTTCCATACAAATATAGTACACACACAGTGGAAGCGAAAAAATGTCATTTACATACACGTGAGCATTAGTGTCCTATCTATAGCAGAAGATGTGCACATACATATACATATATATTTATATATAAATATATATGTATATGTATGTGCACATACGTGTATATAATATATGCTGTACACCACGTTACATTAGTCTCTGTATATTTTTTTTTCCTGAGAAAGTCTCAAGATGTGATAATATTAAATTTCTCCTCTTGCAAGCTTTTTTATGTGTTCCCTTAAAAACACACAATTTAATAATAATAAAAAAAATAAAAATGTATATTTTTGTTGCTAGCAAAAACGTAGCTATATATCTTTAAAGGCTGAAAGTTCAAGCAGTTTTCCTCTACCCCACCTCCTCCTTCGAGGAGAAAAAAAAAAGTGCACATTTCTATCTCTTCATTCCATGTGAAAATCGTTGGGTCTCCCCACTATAGCAATTTAGCATTATCTACAGGTTAGTAGTACAATTATTTGCCTCCATTTATGAAAAAAAAAAAAAAAAAAAAAAAAAAATTTCGCTTCTCAAAATGAAGCATCCAAAGAGGTGTGGATATAGCCACATGATTATTTTCATTTTTTTTTTTTTTTTTTTTTCTCCATTTCAAAAATCAAGCGCATACATTTGATATTTAAGTAGAGGATAGCAGATATTGTAAAGGAGTTTTGCTGACATAAAAAAAAAAAAAAAAAAAAAAAAAAAAACGAACGGACGGACGGGTGAGCATGTATGTGCATGGGGCCAATTGAGTAAACCCTATGTGTGCATCGAAAAACATTAGTCAGAGGGGTTCCTAGGAAGAAAAAAGCACAAATTCTGTTTCGTTTCACTTTGTTTTGTTCCGCTCTGTCCCGTTTGTTACATTTCTTGCAATGAGGGGACGAACGAATCCACACACACATGCACTGGAGGCGACACAATACACGAATAGCTACAATGGAGCGATAAAAATCTTGTAGACATTCCTAAATGTGCAACAAAAAAAAAAAAAAAAAAAAAAAGTACAAAAAAGCATACACACATGGAAGCATATTCAAAGCTGATAAGCGACCCTTAGGTGTTGGTATTTCTAGGAGGAGACTTGGGTCGCAAGTTCTCAATTTCGGTAGTCGTACCCATATACTTCCCACCAACATATGAAGTTGCCTCTGGCCATGCAACGTCTCCCTCGAACCATCCTGTATACTCTTCCTTATTGAAGAGAGTAGTATCTATACTTTTTCCTAAAGTTAGCCATCCATTACGTATATTTCTATTGGTTCCAAATAGTTCAATTTTTCTTCTTCCAAGACAGAACTTTTCGATAATTTTGTAAAGTTCTTCTGGTTTGTTATTATTATAAATATTTTCATCTGTCTCTTCTGCTATGATAACATCTGTGTCTAGATTAGCATGAATTAAATGGATGTCAAAAGATCGTCTAACAGCACCTTTAATACCAACCAAGCAGTGTTCAGTAGTTCTTTGTAAATAAGAATTTTCATTATTTATTTCATTTAAATACTTGATTTTTTTGTTTTTTTCATTCACGTTTGTTTTTAACCAGCATATATCTTCACATCTTCGATATCCCCATTTACTTAACAACATTCGAGCATCTTCTAAGTGAGTAATTCCACACCAAATAAAAAGAAAAGAAGGAACTTCCGCAATTTTTTCAATTTCTAAATTGGCTATATCATCAAGACACCAATATTTATCCTTTTCATTATTTATATCATTATTTAAATCATAATTATCTATGTGTATATTATTTAGTATGTCTAAATTGTGAATTTTTCTATCATAATATTCTTTCCATGGGGGATCAATAAGTATAACATCAAATTTTATACCTAACGTTCCTAAATCGAATGTCCTTAAATCACAATTTATGTATCTAGCTGGGGTTGACCTCTTTTTTATAATTATATTCTTTAATTCTAATAGTTGTTTCAATTTTGGATACTTATCAAACCGTATGTTTTCATCGCTATCGCGGATAAAGTTTTGTGGCCTCTCTCCTGTATTTACAAAGTTTTGATTATAATCATTTTGTAATCGTTCTCTTCCATCTACATTTATGTTACATGGCGTTACTGCATTTTTGGAGTCAATTTTTTGGTCATTTTTTGGGCCGTTTTTCGGATCATTTATTGAAGCATTTATTGAAGCATTTATTGAACCATTTATTGAACCATTTTTCAAACCACTTTTCAAGCCATTTTTCATGCCACTTTTCAAACCATTTTTTGCGTCATTTTGTTTCCAGTTATTCATTATACCACTATGAAGACTGCTGTTACCATCGCCTAGGTCGCTATAGCCACTCCCGTAATTTTCATTTGGATACATATTACTGCTATTAAGGTGATATGAGGTAACAGGCATTGGTTTATTATACAGGGGGGGAGGAGGATTCACGTAATTTTCCTGATAATTTCCATCATTTATTTTTATATCTTTTGGAAAATTATCGACAGTGTTAACCCCGTGAGGTAAGTTAAGCATAATATTGTTACTCTTCTCACTGTTCTGAGGAGGGGGATATATCATCGCATTATTTCTTTGCAAATGAAAATTATTACCTTTTATGCTATTGTTATTTGGAATACTACTATGGCTTGGGGAAAAATTATTGTTCATCATTACACCTGGAGGTGGTGGCATGTGCTGATTAGTTTTCATTAGGACATTATATTTGTTATTACCAATATTCGTGTACATGTTATTATTCTTACTTTTTAAATTACTAGGAACAAGAAACATGTTTTGTACACCCTCCATTGTGCCACAACTCCTATCTGGAGGTGTCACTGCGGCAGTATATAGACTATTGTTGCTGCCACTCTTGCTCGGTGGAGGGGGGTTTATAATATTGTTGTTCAGGTAATTTCCAAAAGGTTTCGCCTTTGTGGGATTGAAGTTTTTGTTCATATATGGGATTCCACTCGGTGGGGGAATACTACTAGGTTGTGGAATACTACTAGGTGGGGGGATATTACTCGGTGGGGGGATATTACTCGGTGGGGGGATATTACTCGGTGGGGGGATATTACTCGGTGGGGGGATATTACTCGGTGGGGGAATACTACTTGGGGGACTGGGCCCCAGGGTGGTGGTGGAGTTTACATAATTCTGTGAACCCTTTGTGGCTCCATTGTTACTCGACAAAGTTGAGTAATTCGCAGGATTGTAGGTACAATTTTGGTTATGCAGGTTTGGGAAATTCCCACCGCTGCCAATGTAGTTCATCGGGGTAGGACTGTTACTGACATTTGGATTGTGATAGTTGTTTCTGCTACGGTTCCTATTGCTGTCCCTACTGTTGTTCTTAGAGTTGTTGTTGATGGTGCTCCCCATGGAGCAATTTTTACTATTAATAAATGTTTGATGTGGTTGCGAATTATTACTAGGTTGTTTGTTATATTGGGAGATGTTTTGAAAATTGGGATTTAAATTGGGATTCATTGCAGCTCCCTCCCCTTTGTTGTTATTAACAGTTTTGTTTTTAAAGTTTCCTTGATTGTTCATTGGGTTATGTTATTCTAATGCGTTTGTTATCAGTGAAATGTAATCTTTATTTTATTTTATTTTCTTCTTTTGTGTTTTCATATATACGGCTAAAGGTTGTTATCATATAAGAAAACTGCTTTTGACATATGAAATTTTTATTTGTGGAGGTTATTTCTTTTTTTCTCAGCAAATATGTCCGAAATTTTGTATAGAAAAACAATGTGGAAATCTCTGCTGGTGGGGAAGAAGTATAGATTTTTCTCTCAAAATGGTAGAAAAAAAATGGGATTCATTTTTTAAAAAAAAATAGAATTCCCCTCCAATTCATGTTTTTTTTTTTTTTTCTCTCTCTCTCTCTCTCTCTTTTTCTAAGAAAACGTTTTGCATTTCATTTAATCCTAACGTTAGAAGTCAGAAGCGTTCGTGCACAGCAAGATATGATTTTGCGTAGGTACAAATTCGTGAATATTCATTTTTAATTTAACCTCTACCCTTTTTACACAAAAGGGTGAAAACAAAATAAAAAAAATAAAATAAATATATAAACAAAGCAAACAAGGGGAAAAAATAAAACAAAACAACTTGCCTTGATAAGGCTGAAAAAAAAAAAAAAAAAAAAAACGGCCATACTATTTTGTTCATATATTTTATTTATGGAGTAATAATAAACCAAAATGGGCAGCAAAAAAAAAAAAAAAAAAAAAAAAAAATTGTTCCACGGACATCATTCACAGTAAAAAGAAACCACACAGATAATTTAACACTTTCGGAAAAACATAGGAAAATACGCATACACAGTATATTAATGCTTATTTACGCATTAAAAAGGGACCATTTTTCATCCACAGCTTTAGTGCCAAACAAAAATGTTTAGGAATATTTGGGAGACTTTATATTGTATATCCTTTACACACAACACAGCATCGGCAAGAGGAGGTGGAGGGAAGAAAAAATAAACAATTATCATTACCATTATTATCATCATCCCCATCATCATCCCCATCACCATCCCCATCATCATCCCCATCACCATCCCCATCATCATCCCCATCATTATCACCATCCTAATTGGTAGTGTCCCAGCGAAACAAATGATCTTTTTAAGAGTTGTTGAGAGGAGGGTAAATATATTTTTATGTCTGCACATGAATACTGAGACAGCATAGGCCTCCACCGATCTCACTATTTTAATCATTACAATTGAAACCTTCAAATAAAAAGAAAAGAGGAGCATGTAGGGCTTCATGGTGTTGTGCAGGTGAAAAATAAAAATGGGGTTATTAATGATGCAGTTTTTTCCAAGCTGTCTTTTGTGAATCGCGCAAGAATTCTCGTTCAGTGGTGACCGAGTCTCCCAACACAAGCACACATACGCACATATACATACATGTATGTATGTATGTATGTATGTATATATACATGTGTGCTTGTATGAATGTATGGGGAGCACCCCTCGATTCGTGCAACAAAAGAAAAAATGAGATAATAGGCTTTTCCCCCACCCGAACTTCCCAAATCGCACAACGCGAAACGGAAAACAAAATAAATATAGATTGTACCTGCACGCTTAAGGTCATGCATTCGCGTATTCCAACTGAATATTATAGCTAGCTAAACTAGTTAGGTTTTTTTTTTTTTTTTTTTTTTTTTTTTTTACCCATTTTGTTCATAATATGCTAAAAAATATATTAACCGTTCATAATAACATTTACCTAAGATATAAGAAAAGATTTTTCTGCCATGAATTAGTAAACTTAGGAATTCTTGCACACATTGATGCAGGAAAAACAACAATATCGGAGGATATTTTATATAATGCGAATGAAATAAGAGCAAAGGGGAACATAAATGATCAAAACACACAGTTGGATTTTTTAAAGCAGGAAAAAGAACGAGGGATAACAATAAAGACAGCTTATTCATGTTTCAAATGGAATAATGTAAATGTAAATTTAATTGATACCCCAGGACATGTTGATTTTAGTAATGAAACATTTTTATCATTATGTGTATCAGACAAATGTGTCATTGTTATAGATGCAAAGGAAGGATTACAAATTCAGGCATTAAATATATTTCGTTATATAAAAGAAAACCTACCCATATATTTTTTTTTAAACAAAATGGATATACACGAAACTGATCTGGAATACAATTTTGGGAGTATCAGAAATAATTTGAGTAAGAAAAGTCTACTTATAACATATCCAATTTATGAAAATAAAAAATTAAAATATATAATAGACCTACCCTCAATGTTGATGTATTGTTACCCCCAACTTAAGTATGGTCAAAAGTTCGTTTATAACAAAATTAACCTTGAATCGGTTTTAAGGCAGTCCAAGTGTGAAAATGTGCAAAGACATTTTTCTTCCATCGAATCGTACAGAGTTGTTGCAGGAGAAAATAAAATTCAACATGGTCACAGCGAGACAATCAGCACAGACGCGTTAATGAATTCACACATCCTAAGTGTTCTAAACCATGATATAATCAATTGTGTGATACAAAAAAGGGAAGAAATTGTAGAGGCACTATGTGATTTAGACACTGATTTAGAATATAAATATCTAAATAATATCAAAATAAAGTACAATGATATGAAAAATAGCCTGAACAAATGGATAAATAAGAAACAGATTTTTCCTGTATTTTCAGGGAGTGCTTTAAATTCACATGGGGTCCATCTACTGCTCGATTATGTAACAACTGGAGACAGAATAAATAGAGATCATATTCATATGAATTTAAGTACATGCCCTTCAGACGGAAAAGGAAAGAAGAACAACCTTTCGACAAATAATGGGAAAAATCAGTCCAGGGGAGAAAAGGGCATTCAAACGATTAGCACATATTTTAATGAACGAATTTCCAACAATAATGAGGAAGAACCTTCGTTTATCAAAACTAAGGAAACACGTCACAGCACAATTAATAATATTGGTATTCACACAGACAAAATTATAAAAAAGGGGGGGAACAATATGCAATTGTATAAGACCATTTTGTTTATATTCAAATTGATAAATGAAAAAAATGGGTACAATACATTTTGTAAGGTGTTCAAGGGTGAATTGGCTAAAAACACAAAACTTCTAAACATGAGAAATGGAAAAACCGAAATAGTAAAAGGTATATATAAAGTTAAGGCAGACAGATATATAATGGCAAATATATTGAAAACAAACGATATAGGAATGATTCGAGGGTTTGAAAATGTAATGGTTTGTGATATAATATGCGAAATGGAAGAAGACGAGGGGAAGTTAGTACAGGAACAGTCACGTAGTAAAAAATATACACATTGTGTGGAAGTGAAAGGAATTACGAACATAACTCTGGAACATGTGAAAAAGAGTGATGAAAATATTGAAAATAAGAAAAAAAAAATAAATGATATAGATAAAAATGTAAATTTTTTTAGCTATATTTATAGATTGATGAAAAACGAAATACAAAGGAAGGAGTTGTGGTATTTTCTCAAAAGTTATAAAAAAAGAATCAGTAAGAATATTATTCTCTGTACATGTGCTATAGAACCAAAAGATTATAGAAAAGAAAATGAATTAAAAAACATTTTAAAGAATATTTGCCTGGAAGATAACAGCATTGTTGTATATACAAACCAAAATAACAACTTGGTTATTGGTTCGATAGGTATATTAAATATTGAAGTTACCTTGGATAAAATTAAGAGCGATTACAATATTGATATACGAACTGGTAATGTAGAAATAGTAGAAAAGGAATACGTCACAGGACAGTATGAAGAGACCATTAAGAAGCAAATGAAAGTGAATTCCAACTTTTCTACCATAACGATTGGTTTGACCATTCGGGAAAAAAAGTTCACGGATGTTTCAAAGTTTATTCAGGATGCGCTGAGACATGACAGCGTGTCTCAGTTTGTTTTGTCTCACATTCGTGGAGACGAGGAAATAGGGGAAGAGCCGTCACAACAGCAGAGGCGACAGCAGCATAAGCAATCGCAGCAAGAATGTGCTTTTCCAAATTACTCAATTCATAGCCAGTTGGAAAGACAAGGCTATGTTTTTTCCTCCCCTTCGAAAAGCGGAAGCCATGTTCAAAGTCAATCGGATTGCAGTGTTGAAGTAGAGCTTAAGGACGTAGAAGAGGGATCAACCGACTTAATGAAGGGAGATGATGGGTTGATTACATCTAAAATAAAAATTAACAGTAATTGTGAAACGTCTCAAAACTCAAGAGAGATGAGGATGTTAGGTGGGAATATGCAATCGAAGCAAGTGATTCAGTCGGAGCAATTGATTCAATCGGATCAACAAAATAACGCGCTTTACCAGCATATGGAAACACCGGAAACTATTAGCATGGGAGTGAAGGAAAATGGATTGACCTTTATGGAAAATGTTCAGAATGAAGCAGAAAGTAACGAAATGTACCTTGCGGATGAAGAAGATATGGATGAGTACCTTCTGAACTTCAATTACGAGGACCTGTTCCGAAGCAGCGTTCTCGTGAGCAAGAATGTGCAGATGTACATTGAGGAATTAAAAATACAAAAAAAAACAAAAAAAAAAAATTTTTTTGAGGAAATTTTACATAGCTGTATTGTTACCCTGAATAATTGCCTAGCCAATGGATACAGAACGAGTGGAAATATTATTAACACAGAAATAGAAATTACAAAATTAGAAATATCCGATGATACCACAACTGCAGTTGCTAAATATGCTTGCAATGACCTGTACTATAGAATACTTAAAAGGGCCACTGTGTGCGTAGCCAATCCTATGTCTCTTCTTCAAATACAAACAGATGAATCCTTTGTTGGTGTCATAGTGAAAGATTTAGTTCAGCACAGAAATGGAACCATTATTCAAATAATGAAAAATAAGGACCCCTATGATTTTAAAATTATGAAAATCATTGCGCTTATCCCAGTTATGCATACTCATAATTATGCCTCCATTTTAAGGTCTATTTCGAGTGGTCACGCCAATTTTTTTATGACATTTTGTGGTTATAACAAGTGCTAACCGTGAGGTAGTGCTGCAGTGATTCAGTGATGCAGTGATGCAATGATGCAATGATGCAGTGATGTATTGATGCTTGTGGTGGTTGTTTACTTTTGTCTCATCATAACTTGTGTTAGTGTTATTACCTGCATAGCGTGCAGGTTTGGTATCTTTTTTATCCCTTTTATATTTTTTAAACTCGAATAGGGGATGACGGGCGTGTCGATGTGCAGGGTTGGTTCACCCGACTGTTTATTTGGCCACTTCATAATTTGGCCACTTCATAATTTGGACACTTCATAATTTGGACACTTCCTTATTAGGCCACTTCCTTATTAGGTCACTTGATTATTAGGCCACTTCCTTATTTTCTATTGAGTTTTTTATTCCTTACGTATGTGAACCTAACACGCTGGACACACGAGGATACACACGAGATGGGTAATCATCCCTCCCCTGTAAGTCGTCCTCATGTGTCCTTCCCCTTATGCAGATCGTGATATGAAATTGCTTCGTCCTTTGACACTGCCCTCCTGCTGGTGCGGGTGATGTGGGCATTCCGAATGTATATACATATATGCATAAGGATATGTACATATATAACAATATTTGTCTATTTATTGTTTTTATTTTTTGCATAATATATAGTAAAAAGGATTTGTGAGACACCACGAGTGGCCTATATCACATGTGAGAGGAGTGTAGGATTTTTACAGTTTGGCACTTTTTTTTTTTTTTTTTTTTTTTTTTTTTTTTTTTTTTAATTCGATAAGTTAATTAAGATATTGGTGACGGTTTGTCACCTGCGTGTGTGTGTTTATGGGGAAGGAATATGTACATACATACAGAAAAAAACACGCACACACATATGCACATACATATATATACATATGCATGTATATATTACATATGTAACACTAAATTACAAAAAATTGGCTGAATTTTTTTTTTTCTTTTTTCCCCATTAACATAACATATTTAAAAAGGTATGCAAATGATTTGTCAAAGTAAAATTGTCATTTTAAAAAAAATAAAATAAAAAAACGTTAAAATTCTTCTTGTTTTTTTTTTTTTTTTTTTTATTATATGTATTAATGGTTTTCTCGTCTTCAGACGTTTTCTGTGTTTCACGTTGCCTATTCTATCTTTTTTATTTTTTTTGTGGAAAAATTAATATTCTCCCGTTCATGAATTATTTCCATGGGTAAAAAAAGTGAATAAGATGGGGATAAGTGTACAAATAATAAGCGCCTTTGTGTATGTATTGCACGGAGCAAAGTGTTATATATATATGTTACAGTTTTATAAATGTACCACATTTGTGCGAGGTATTTCCGGTTTGTCCATTTGTTATTGGGTAGGCTCAAAGGAAGCACACTGTTGTTAAGCGCTCAAATTAACCTTTTCATTTACTTCGTTTGCGTGAAAGGAATGATTAAAATTTACCCATAGATTTGGAAGTGTAGTATGGTTTTTTTTTTTACATTTTTTGTTTAAATTATTGGTTTGTTCATAAAAAGTAGTTTCTATTTTGCTATTCCTGCAAGGTGCTTTATTACCTGACGCGTTCAGGTAATTTTCTTTGCATAACTGTTGAACGAAGTTTATTTCTTCATTAAACATTTTATCAAAAAGGATATCATTTGCCGTTAGTAAATCTGAATTTTTTGATAAAATTAATTCTTTATATATATCAAATGTATTTTCATGAAGATAATTCATTTCTTTCATGTTTCTTTTTTCATCCTTTTTAAAAATGAATTCCATAATTCCTTTATGTGATTTTAAAAAAATATGCTCGTCATTAGTATACATCAGATAATCATTTGTTCTTCTTTCATCCCCTTCTATTAAGTATACTGCATCCTTATCATTGTGATTATTTTGAATTGCCTTACCTTTAGCAACGCATAAATTCTTTAAGAATATTTCTAAATCATCAAATAGAGCATTTTTTTCTATGATATCTTCCATTTGGCTTATCCGGTCTACATGTCCCATTTCAATCTTTCCACTTGTTTCACAAATGGAACCACTTTTGTTTCTCTTACTTTTGGATTTCATTCGATGCATCATCATTTCTCTTATAAGACTCATAATATCCCCTTCCATTTCCCTTTGGTACATATTCCTTATATTAAAAATATCTTTTTTCTTTTTCTCTTTGCCACTTACCATTTGGTTTTTCTCATCTGTTAGTCCTCTTTGTGTTTTTTCTGAATTCTGGATTTCCTCATTGGGTTTTGAAGTATCCTTTTTCTTCTTCTCAATCTCTGCATCTTTTATTATATCATTATTGTTATGATTACTTCTGTCAGATTCACCATTATTTTTATTCTTTTCTTTATTCTCTTTCAAAGAATAACTGTTGTTATCTCCTCCTTTATTAATATTCTTTTCTCCTTTCATCATCTTTTTCTCCATATTAATGGGCCTCTCGCTAATATAATTATTTACTATATGGTGCAATTCGTCAAAATGCAAAATTTCCTTGGTGGTAGTTCTTTTATTTGCGATATATTTTTCAATCCCTTCACTTAGAGGCATATCTGGATTTCTCTTTAGATTCTTTAAAATTTCCTGACAATGTTTTTTCAGTTTCTCTCCTTCGTTTTCTTTCTCACTATATCCGCTTTTTCCTTCTCCCTTTTCCTGTGTGTTTATCTTCGCAGATTTTGTCATATCATCCTGTACTTCCTTAATTGGGCTAGCCATAACCGCTTCTGATTCAGCTGGGCTTGCGATAACAGCATCTGATTCAAATGGGTTCGCGTTAACTGCATCTAGTCCAACTGGCTTAGCAGTACCTCCATCTGAACCAACTCGAGGTGTCTCGGTTGCATCAACTCGAACTGAATCTCCACCAATTACTGCATCTGCTTTGTCAGCCGGAAAATGGGACCTGTCGTGGACCCTAACCTTCTGTGTTCGCACTTCACCTACTTCCTTTTCCATGTCTCTTTTTAGTGAGTTCTGTTCATTTTTTCTTCTTCCCGTTTCTTCTCTTCCTTTATCTTGTTCCTTCAGTTTCATTTCCTCCTTTTCTCTTCCCTGCTCCTGTTTCGGCTCGTACCTTTGCACTTTCTTTTGCTTCAAGGGGACATCGTCCCCATCTACATATGCGTCTCCTTTTTTCCAATCGTTTACAGAGTCATCATCTTTCGACACTGAATATTTTGCAGTGTTATTTTTTTCTTCGCCTTTGTTTTTCAATTCCTCATTTTTCGCTGTTCCTGTAGCATTAGATGTGGCTGCACCATTCGGCGTGGCTGTGACAGTTGGAATATTTTTTTCTTCTTTCTTCTCAGCGTTACTTGTATCATTTCCTCCTTCGCCTCCTCTGGGTGCTCTTTTTCTACCAGTGTCAAACAAATCATTAAAAAAACTTCCGATTTTAAATTTCATTTTTGCATATTTGTTTTTTACCTCCACTACCTCCTCTTCACCTATTTGTTTCTTCTCATTTGGATTGTTAAATGATTTTCCCTCCTCCTGTTTTGGAGATCCATCTGATGGTTTATCTACCTGGTCCTCGGGTTGGATTTGTTTATTATCTACACCACTGCTAATACTACTAGATATTTTTTTCTTTTGCTTCTTTGTTTCCTTTTCGCCTTCCTTGTCTCGTAAGTGTTCTTCCTGGAGTATGGAAGAATCCTTCTTAGAAATCTGTGCAACGGATTTTTCATTTTTCGTATGTACTTCTTCTATTGGTTTCTTTTTGTTGTCTGCTTGAACTTCTTCTGCCTTTTTCTTCTCATTGGCTTTTTTCTTTTCTGCTTTTTTTTTCATTTTTTTTTTCTTGTCTTTGTCAAATCGTACGTCGGTTATGAGCGGATAATTCTCAGACATGGCATCTACATCGTAAGAATTTTCCTCTAGCTCGTTGGAATTATTCTTGGAAATATTTTTGTTCATGTATCTTTCCTTGTCCTTATCGTTATCCTTAGAGGAATTGTTTATATTTTCATTCTTCGATATGCTACTATTTTGGACAGAATTACGATAATTTTTCGCTTTCTGTGTAGAAATTATATTTGTATGATCTTCTTCCTCCTCCACCTTTCCTTGATAATTCGACAGGAATGATTCTTCACATTTTTGTTTTTTTTTCTTTTTCTTACTTTTGGTATTGGTATTTGTTTTTTCTTCTTCATCTTCTTCTTCTTCTTCTCCTCCTTCTTCTTCTTGTGCTTCTCCTTCTTCTTCTTCTTCTTCTTCTTCTTCTCCTTCTTCTTCCAGATCTTCCAGAGAAGTGGATGCAGCTCTTGCATTATTCTTTATTAGATTCACAAATTTTGATTCCAATGTCCATTTATTTTTTTCCTCTCCAGGAAGACTATCCTTTGATGTTTTATTAGTAATACCCTCTTTCACATCCTTCACACTTTTTGCATCTGTTCTCAATTCGTCTGAACCTTTGTTCATAATTTCTTTGGCTGTCTCCAGATTTTTAATTTTCCACTCGTTTGACTTTGTATCTCTTTGAATTGATGAAAACAAAGAGTTTTGTTTCTTACAATTGGTGGGTTCTTCCCTAATATCGTTTTTTTTCTTACTATCAGTTATTTCTTTATCATTTGTGGTGGATATCGGGCGAGTGGTTGTGCTGATGTTCACAACCCCACCTCCAGGTGTTCCAATCCCCATTGGTGTCGATGTGATTGATGTTGCTACGCCCATTACTCCTGCTGCTGATGTATCTTCAGATTTCCTTGCAGTTTTTATTACAATATTGCCTGAACAATCATAACTATTATTGTTGGAATCGTTTTTTCTGTCAGGAAGTTTTTTAAAATAGAAATATAACAAGTCATGATAAATATGTTTGGGACCATGAATATCATCTTTAGAAAAACTGTCGACTGCATTTCCTAATGCATGTAAATAAAAACAATCCTCATTTGTGCATGGCATATTTTTTAAAAAGGCAGCACAATATTTTGTTGTTCCAAATGAAGCTTTCAAAGTTTTATTATCCAGAATCATACCATCAATAAAATAAATTGCATTGATAGCTTCTTTTTCATTACTATAAGTTATGTATGCACTAAAGGACGGGCCATTGTAATGTGGATTATAAGCCTGTGATTTATTAACAATTATATTTAATATTTGTCCATATTTTCCAAAATATTCATTTTTTTTTAATAAGTTTTTTTTTGCATATGCAGATGTAATGCCAATTACAAAAACCAAATTTCTTTGTACAACACGAATTCCCCTTATAATTTCAAACAAATTATCATACTCATGAATACTATATATGTTCGCATTTTTATAAAATTCTGGTCTTCTAAAAATGGCAGTAGTACTATTAACATTATGAAAGTTATTATATTGTCTATTGTTATTAGTCATATTATTCATAATACAATTAACGCCACATGAAATATTAGTGCTAGCACAGATTGCACCACAACAAGCACCATTCGTGCCACTAGTACAATTATTATTACTGTTGTTGTTATTTCCATCTGTTTTACTATTCCCACCCTTATGCTGATTTTTCTGTTTTTTAAGCAATTTTTCATGAGTTTCTCTGTTATATATAAAATTCTTTTCATCATAACTCCTCCTGCATGCTGGACACTTATTACACATGTGATCTCGTATGTAATATAAACACCACAGACATATCTGATACCCACAATCACAAGGGAAGAAATTTCTATCCGTTTCGTCTAATACTTCTACACATAGTGGGCAAAGAATGTTATTTTTATCTTGAATTTCTCCCTCTTTGTGCTTATTCCCACCGATGCCAACTCCGTTGCTCCCATTGTTATTGTTATTGTTGTTGTTATTGTTATTGCTATTGTTGTTGCTATTGTTACTGTTATTGTTGTTGTTGTTGGCACTGCTCCTATTTGTATTATTACAATTATTCTCTACACTGGGTTTAGTAGAAGCATCCTCGCTTTTTATCGTCATTTCTTTTTCTTGAGATGAAAAATTTTCTTTTGTTTTTTCTTTTGCGTTTTTTTCCATCTTGGATGTTTTATTATTTTTATTTTCTCCTCCTTCTTCTTCAGCATAAAACAATTCTATGCCTTCACCATCTCGATCTCCTTCTTCTCTTTCCTTTACTTGTACCTCTTCCTTAATTTTTCCATCCAAATGTTTCAACTTATTCTCTGCATCGCTTTCAGATGCACTTGTCATAGTATTCTTTTTACTTGTTGAGGTATTCTTTTTACTTGTAGTGCTATTCTTCTTACTTGTAGTGCTATTCTTTTTACTTGTCGTGGTATCCTTCTTACTTGTCGTGGTATCCTTCTTACTTGTCGTGGTATCCTTCTTACTTGTCGTAGTATTCTTCTTACTTGTTGTGGTATTATGCTTTCTATTTGTTGTGACATTTTTTCCACTTGTGCTCCCATTCCCACTAGCGCTGCTTTCCGGAATACCATTAATTTTCCTACTGCTGTTACTAGCCTCTTCTGTCTGTTCTCCATTCTTATAATAATATGACCTGCTGAATGTCCTCCTTAATAATCTATTATCAGTGGATCCCCCTTTCCTCATTTTCTTCTATTGAAACCATGCGATGTAAAGTATGACACATGTTCTAATCTTCTGCGACTCCCTTTTTTGTGAGTGTCTGCGTTTGACGTGTTTTTTTTTTTTTTTTTTTTTTTTTTTTTTTTTTTTTTTTTTTTTTTTTTTTTTTTTTTTTTTTTTTTTTTTTTTTTTTTTTTTTTTTTTTTTTTTTTTTTTTTTTTTTTTTTTTTTTTGCGTTTGTTCCTGTTTCGGATTCGTGAGAGTGAATTGAGGAAATAAGTAGCTCTTTCCTGTCACAGGATTATTTTCTCTCATGCATACGTTACATGAGGAAACAGACTCATGTACAAACTCCGTATGCTTCAAATTTACTTTTAAAAAAAAAAAAAAAAAAAAAATGACTTGATTGGGTGGGGGGTCAGATGGGGTAAAATGTTACCTTTCTTTTCCTTCTTATCTTCTTTTCCTTCTTATCTTCTTTTCCTTCTTATCTTCTTTTCCTTCTTATCTTCTTTTCCTTCTTATCTTCTTTTCCTTCTTATCTTCTTTTCCTTCTTATCTTTTTTCCTTCTTATCTTTTTTCCTTCTTATCTTCTTTTCTTTCTTCTTATCTTCTTTTTCTTCTTCCTATCCCTTTTGTTCTCACGTTTTCCTTATTTATTTCAACCTTTTGGTGGTTTTCCAAACCGGCCTAAATAATTTCTTTTTGTATTTTCCCCTTTTAGCCTATCCCGGAGGCGTGTATGGGCCCCTTTTTCCATTGACAACTCATGCAATAGGCAAGCAGAACGTGTGGAGAGTTATTCCAAAATTGTTGAGAAATTGTTGCGAAATTGTTGCGAAATTGTGACAAAATTGGGACAAAATTGTGACAAAATTGTTACAAATTTGTTATCAAATTGATGCCATATTGTTGCAAAATTGTTGCTAGAAAATATTTTCAAAACATATTGCCAATTAATCCCAGCTGAAAACTGAGGTGCAAATACAAAATATATAACATCTCCACAGAGCATTCTCGAAAGAAAAAAAAAATGCAGAGGAAAAATCATAAGGCGTAAAAGAGCTGCGAAGGAACAAAAAAAAAGGGTTATAAAAAAAGTGAAGAAGAAGAAGTTGAATCAGTGAGTAACATAAAAACACGTAAAACGAATCCGAAAAAGAGGGAGGAAAAAAAAAAAAAAAAAAAAAAAAAAAAAAAAAAAGGTTTTTACACCAGGATGTAAATAAATAAAATGTATATTTCGAATTATGTAAAAATGTTTCTCAAGAAACACCAATTTTCCTTTTTTTTTTTTCTTTTTTTTCTTTTTTTTTTCCCATATGATTGGTACATGGAAACGTTTATTCTCTGCTGTCAAGAGTTTCCAAAGAAAAAAAATAAATTAAAGTAAACAAAGCCCAAGCCAAGCTGAGGTAAATTATGTTAAATTGGGCTCATTCAGCTTCGTCTATGTTAAGCTGAATTTAAAAGTTGAGTAAAATTAATGATGAAGTGTGGAAGTTTCCTTGAGATAGGTAAACGATTTTATCTGCAATGAATGATGAATGATTGAAGGAAAGTGAGAAAAAAAAAAAACTTCAGATTATTTCTCCTTATGAAAAAAAAAAAAAAAATAAATAAATAAATAAACATAAAAAATGCATGAAAAATATAACAGCAAGTTTGAAAAGAAAAAAATACTCTTCTACAAGTCTAAATAAAAAAATTGCCGAATTTTATATTTTTACTTTTATATTTTTTATGAATATACCCATGCGCATAATGTTACATACGTGCATACATACGTGCATACATACGTGCATACATGCGTACATACATGCGTACATACATGCGTACATACATACGTGTATTCATATCCTACACGCGTTGCAAGGTTACACATTTGGGTAGGACTAATACACAGAACGCTCTTTTTGTATGTGTACGCACACATAACAAAAGCGAATTTGTTATATTTCCATTTTCTGAATTATTTAATCCTCTGTACAGACATTATATATAAAATATATAATGCGTAAAACTTTGAGCTATTTATTCATTAGGGTATGAAAAAAAAAGGAACGAATGGAAAAGATAAGAAATTAGTAGAAAGTGCTAGAAAATAGTGGAAAGTGCTAGAAAATAGTGGAAAGTGCTAGAAAATAGTAGAAAGTGCTAGAAAATAGTGGAAAGTGCTAGAAAATAGTGGAAAGTGCTAGAAAATAGTGTAAAGTGCTAGAAAATAGTGGAAAGTGCTAGAAAATAGTGGAAAGTGCTAGAAAATAGTGGAAAGTACTAGAAAATAGTGGAAAGTGCTAGAAAATAAAATATAATAAAAGAATAGAAAAGAAAGGAAAAGAAAGCCTTCCCGTTCAAGGGCATGAAAAACGGCAGTCACAGTTACACATTCCTGAGGTTCGGAAAAAATCCTCATTTTATCACGTCATAGTTTTTCTTTGCCATCCCTACGATTTCTCATGTTTCAAAGTAATATATCTTCGCATGTCTGTTAAAAAAAAAAAAAAAAACATGACCAAGGTACTGATATAATCAATGCGTAAAGAGACCTTAAACATTCCTTCTCTCTCTATCTTGTGAAAAACACATATATACACATGTTGTGTATATTTTGAAAAAGAAAAACGGAAACCATAGACAATTCGAAAATCGATTGAACCATGTGGGAATTTTGTATCCCCCCTCCCCATACATTCAAAAATGCTTCATACCTCCCCATTTCATTTCTGATAAAGGACGAACCAAGAGAAAGGTTTGTAGACATTATAGGCATATGAATGTGCAAATGTTATCGATTATTAGGGAAAAGCATGCGCACGCAAACACACATACACACGCATACACACCTTGCTACGCTTGGGCGTTTAAAGGGTGAAAGACAAAATAAAATAATATGCACACATATTATATACAATAAAATAAATGAAGCTCCTTTGTTACATGATTGGGTATCTAAACAAGGAGTTATAGTTGATTGACTACAAAATGGAGAAAAAAAAAATTAAATATAAAAAAAGCAAAGAGAAACATAAAAAGGCAATTTGCGTAATGCTATGGTGTCCAATAAATACACCCTTTTGCTTTTTTTATTCGCACACCCTGCATGTGCATATATGTTTGAAGTGGTAACTCTATCTATATCCATTTTTGAACCAAGGTGAGTTTAACTATACACACAACCAGATGGGCATACATAGGATATTGATATTTATTTTCTTACAACTGTTTAGATATGATCACCTTATTATGTGTTCAGTAGTAGCACCTGCCTTAACTGGTCAGAGTTGATCTTGTCCAACAGACACAACCCCGTTCATAATAAATACAGACCAAATATGTAAAGCATGAGGAGGTTACATGGGAAATACATGTCGCAATTTTTGGTGTAGATTAGACTAAAAGAATAAATGAAAACCCTCCAAAGGATACTTTTCTGAAATTACGACGTTCTCTCATTTTTTCTTTTTTTTTCCTCTCGCGGTCGAGGTATCCTTTATGATCTTAACAGGTGCGAAAAAATGAACAGATCACTTAACAGACTGACCAACAGACCGGCCAACAGGCTGGTCAACAAATCAGTGAAAAAAAAGAAAAGCGTTAGTTGATCATCCAATCAGTCCTTGACCCAGTGAGGGATCCCACCAGACAACTATGTGAAACCTCCTGATGGTTAAGATAATACTTATCAGAATTTTGTTCATACAGTTTTGAGATTAAAAAGGCCAGTTTTTATTCTTCTCCACAAAAAATTACTTTCCACGTTCGTTTTTATTTACGCTTTTTTTTATTTCACGCTTTTTTTTATTAACACTTTTTTTTATTAACACTTTTTTTTATTAACACTTTTTTTTATTCACGCTTTTTTTTATTAACATTTTTTTTTATTAACACTTTTTTTTATTAACACTTTTTTTTATTAACACTTTTTTTTATTCACACTTTTTTTTATTCACACTTTTTTTTTATTTACGCTTTCTTTTATTCACACTTTTTATGTACACTTTTTTTTTTTTTTTTTTTTTTCGAAATGTACACAGGTTTAAGCATATTGTAAAAGGAAAACCTTTTTGCCAGTTTTTTTTTTTTTTTTTTCTTTATGCCTGCCTCCTATTTATTGGTGCTATTTTTGCAACTTTTTTGCTTATCCAATTTGCTATTGTATCATTATTTTTTCTAGTCACTTGCACATTCCCACAAAAGTTTTGTATGCTAATACGTTTATTTCCCTCCTTTGCAGCTCGCTCGGTCCAACTGCAAAAATAAAATAAATAAATAAATAAAATAAACGATTAAACAGGTGAATAAGCAAAGAAGCAAATAAATGAATAAATAAAGAAGCAAATGAATGAATAAATGAATAAATAAAATGAAGTAAAATAACGCTACTCACATTTCACCCTGTTGTGTACATGAGGAATGATTAAATTTTGAAATTTAAATTTCCCTGGGGAAGTCTTTTTTTTTTTTTTTTTTTACCCTTATTTCCACTCCCTTCTCCTCCCTCGCCATCTTAGCTGCGAAGTAGTGGTATTCCAAAGGTCTACTATCATATAGAAAAAGAAGAACTACAAAATAGTGAAGTGGCAAGAAAAGTTCGAAGTATTGAGGAGGGAAGGAAGCCAATAAGACATGACAATGTAATACAACATGTGCATGAGAAATTTTCCTCGGAAAGGTGCACATATTTTATATCTCGAAAAATAAAAGTGAAGAGCAATTCTCGATTTTTTGACTTCAGTGTATAGACTTCAAAGTGAGAAACAAGCAAAAGGATAACAGGTGAAGAAAAAAAAAAAAAAAAAGAGACAGATATATAGAGATAGATAAATACACAGATTGATACATAGAGAGAGAGAGGCCGGAAAAACTAACCAGAGAAAAAATAATCGTCTTCACGTTTCTGACACAAGGCAGACAAACCCAAGAAGTGGAAAATGCTTCCCCTGCAAGGGAACACTGTTAGGGAAAAAAAAAAAGATAAAAAGAATGGTATGAATCTTATGGGAAAGGTATTCTCTAAAGGAATTTTTAAAATTGCAAAAGCGTCAAATGTGGAAGTCGACACCATCACCCGCGGAGGATACACAACTGAGGGAGGAGTGAGATATGTAGAATATTCACAATTGGGAAAATACCATGAAAAGGAAAAGTGTGCAGAAGGTGAAGAAGATGTAATCTCTCTGATATGCCTGAGTTGGTACATAAAACTGTCGACGATGCAAAGGGTATCAGTTAACATGGCTGTGCTGCTAACATTCATATCAGTAATTTATATATCATATCAAACTATAGATAATACAAAGACAATTTGTTTAATCGGACTAACTCTGTATAGTGTCTACTTTTTATTATTCGCTGTATACATGTTAAGCACAGTGCTGAAAGATGAATATGATACATATAGCACGATAAAAAGAAACCAAGAGTTGGAAAAGGAATTGTCTAGTATATACACAAATGATGGATTACCTTATGATTCCATTAGTAATCACGTTAACCATATGAATCATGCACACAAAAAGGGCGGAAAAAATAATAATATTTCCACCCTTGAGGATGGAAAAGTAAAAGGAAAAGGTGAAATTGGAAATGCCTGTTACACCACTGGAGTTGATGAATCAATAGAATCCGAATTCAAAAACGAGGGAAAAGGTATCAATCAGTTTAGCAGAAAAAATATAAGAACAGAAATTCAGCATCCGAATAATGATGAAAAGGATAGGAACATTTCTGTGAAGAACATTTTCCATTGTGGTGACAATGACATGAATGAAGGTCTCTATAATGCTAACAATGGGATGGATAATGATGATGAACCTATGGAAGGATTTGAAATTTTTTCATTCGATAATGTAGCAAAACCTATAAAGGAAGGATCTGAAGGATTTTTCGCTGTTCAGTACAATTCGATATTTAAAATTTCGACAGGATTTACAATACTTTTACTATTACTGTACATATTTAGAGGAGATTACATTAGATTTCCACAGGAAAAAAGCTCGTTATCTTCTCCTCCTAGTGAGGAGAAGCAGTTTATAGTCATATCTCCCCTTATGTATGGAATTATCACTGCCATTTCATTTTTATTCGGTACCATTTGCAGTTCTATAGCAGGATATAACGGAATATATGTAGCTGTTCGTGCAAATGTGTTGGTGGCAAAAGCTTCAACATATTCGTATAGCAAAGCACTTATAACATGTTTTAGAAGTGGTGCCATAAGTGCAATTATAAATGTGTCCCTAGCCATGTTTGGAATTTGTTCCTTATTATTATTAGTAAATATATTATATCCCACACTAGTTTTTACAAAATATCCTCTTCTTATTGTTGGGTATGGGTTTGGTGCATCTTTAGTTGCCATGCTGTATCAGCTAGCTGGAGGAATTTACACCAAAGCAGCTGATATTGGTGCTGATTTGGTGGGGAAAATTGAAAAGCATATTCCAGAAGATGATGCTAGAAACCCTGCAGTGATTGCTGATTTGGTTGGAGATAATGTTGGTGATTGCGCAGGCCAGTGTGCAGATTTATTTGAATCCATTTCGGCTGAAATTATTGCATCTATGATTTTAGGAGGTTCTTTATGCGAAAATGGAATCATTTCAGAGAAAAACTCCAGCTATTTTGTTCTTTTCCCCTTATTTGTGCATTCGATGGATCTATTTGTCTCCACCATCGGAATTTTTCTTGTGCACACAAAAAGCGATAACCAGTTCGAAGTAAGAATGAAGCAAAGTAAAGGAAAATCCCACTGTGCCCAGGCGGATGAGATAATGCATCATACTAGTGAGTTATATAAAAGTTCAAAGCATATGGATCCAAATTTAAGAAACACATGCAGGAGGGGGGACACATCGCTGTCACCCAAGTACGCTTCCTACGACGACGATGGCCCAGATGTAGATACCTCTGCATTTGCAGATGTATGTGTAAATGACTGTGATGACGAGGCTGGAATAGTCCGAGTGTACAACCTGGAGAATCCGCTGAAGGTTATGCTGAGAGCATACTTTTTCACATGTGTGCTTGCCATGGCTGGTTTTTTTTTTCTTTGTAAAATACTTTTTTCCTTTAAGAAAGACACAGAAGAAGATTCATCATGGATTTACCTCTCCCTGTGTGGGTTGATAGGAATGATATGTTCATACTTATTTGTTATTTTAACGAGATATTATACAGATTATTCGTACCCAAAAGTAAAAAAAATAGCAGAGGCCTCCTTGAGTGGCCCAGCTACAAACATAATAACAGGTTTGTATGTGGGATTAGAATCTACCTTCCTTCCTACCATTGTTATATCTGTTTCTTTATTAGCATCGTATCACTTAGGATTAGTAAGTAACATGACAGGAGATAGAAGTATGATAAATGGACTTTATGGAACATCTGTTGCGACTATGGGTATGTTATCTACTGCTGTTTTTATTTTAAGCATGTCTAATTTTGGGCCTATAGCTGACAATGCAGGAGGAATTGTTGAAATGTCTAAACAGCCAAAACATGTTCGTTTCATAACAGATAAATTAGATGCTGTTGGAAATGTAACTAAAGCAAATACGAAAGGATTTAGTGTTGGTTCTGCTGCACTTGCATGTTTCTTACTTTTTTCAGCATTCTTGAGTGAAGTATCTATTCATGCTAAAACTCCTTTTACAACAGTTGATATTGCAATGCCAGAAGTATTCATTGGTGGTATTCTAGGATCTGTTGTTGTGTTCCTTTTTGCTGGTTGGTCTTTAGATGCAGTTGGGAATACTGCTGAAGAAGTTTTGAAAGAAGTTAGAAGACAATTTAATGAACATCCTGGTATTCTGACGTATAAAGAAAAACCAGATTATCACACATGTGTAGCTATAATAAGTAAAAAGGCACTAATAGAAACGATAAAACCGGGACTACTTGGATTGTTTGCACCCATCATTGTTGGATTCCTTTTTAAACAAATAGGAACACTGCAAAATAATAAATTGTTAGGGGCTCAAGTCCTTGCTTCTTTCATAATGTTTTCCACATCTACTGGAATACTAATGGCTCTATTTATGAATAATGCAGGAGGAGCTTGGGATAATGCAAAAAAGTATATAGAATCCGGTTTTTATGGTGGAAAGAACAGTCCTGCTCATGTTTCTAGTGTTATTGGAGACACTGTAGGAGATCCTTGTAAAGATACTGCAGGTCCTTCCATCCATGTGCTCATCAAGTTGATATCAACAATTACGATGGTAAGTATTTTTTTTTTTTTTTTTTTTTTTTTTTTTTTTTTTTTCTTTTTGACTCTTCTTTCGTGTTAAACATATTCTACTCCTGCACCTTATGCTATTCTTCTACTGAGAATAGGATTTTTTTTTCCCGTGTCATAACGAGAGAAACGTATCACTTTTACTTATTTCATTCATGTGCATATTGTAGCGTGAGAATGGATCTGTGCACTAGGAACCACTCATTCGCAACAACAAATATTGAGGTGACTCGTATTAGGGTTTGTCCAAAATTGGAACGTCAATAATGATCACGTCGGAATTTTTTCCCCTCTATTTTCGACCTCCATTTTTGACCTCCATTTTTGACCTCCATTTTTGACCTCCATTTTTGACCTCCATTTTTGACCTCCATTTTTGACCTCCATTTTTGACCTCCATTTTTGACCTCCATTTTTGACCTCCATTTTTGACCTCCATTTTTGACCTCCATTTTTGACCTCCATTTTTGACCCCCATTTTTGATCTCCATTTTTCCCCCACTTTTTTCAGGTGATGACCCCCCTAATCGCCTCAACCGCGGGAACGTAGTTTTTCGCGTCTGTCTGGTCTGTTCATGATAAGCCCATATAATTTTTTTTTTTTTTTCGTTTGTTAAAGTTTCTTAGCATATTTTATTTTATTTTTTTTTTTAGTATTAATCGATTTTGCAACTGCGTCCATGTGGTATACCATTTGTAAAAATAAGAATACCAATTGTTCACACGAGCTTTATCCAATTTGTGATTAATAAAGTTTTTTCTAAGTTTTTCGTTTGTTTATGTTTTTCTACCCTTTTATATTCCTTTCTATGATTTTCCCTTTTTTTTTTTTTTATGTGAAAATCGCTATTTTGCAATATGCAAGGTGTATGACAATTTTTCAAATGTACCTTCGCCATTTCGCCCCTTCACCTTTATGCATTACAACTAAAGTTTGCGTTTTTATTCTGTTTTTCTGTTTCAAATGTTTGATTATCAGTGTGGTATTATAATGAAGGGTTGTGCAGTAATGCCGACTTCACGTCTTTTTTTTTAAAGGGTAAGAGTTGAAAGAATGGTGAGAAGAAGGCAGAGCAAGTTGTCTAAATTTGGCCAAGCGACTGTTTGTTAATTGTCATTTTGCCCTGAGGCCAACCAACATTTAGCATATATGACTCTTCCCAAATGGACGCATATAACTTTAATATTAATCTTAATGTTAAGGTGATGTGTTATGCAGGATAAAGCGACACTGTGATCTTGTTTCATATTCTCCCTTTTTCTTAGGGCGTAGTGGTGGCATATGTGATCGATAATTAATTCGAGGCTTCGGAAAAATAAACAATATAATGGATAAATTCCAAATTAGCCACTTTTTTTTTTTTCTTTTTTTTTTTATTATTTACCTACACATTTTATGAGACACTTGAAATTAATGGGTAAGCAATTTTTTTCTTCCTTTATTTGCGAATGGATTAGAAAAAAAAAAGCACCTATCAACATGTTCTTGTTATGGTATATGATGATCTGGAACTGAAAAAAAAGTAAAAAAAAAAATAAAATATATATACCAACTTTAACTTCAAATGTAGGGGTGGGGGCTACTTTTGTTCTCCCTTTTTATGTCATTTTTATGTTTTCATTTGAAGCATAAATGAAGAAAACACATATTTGAAAAAAGTCATAACTTAATCTAGTTAGGCAGAATGGAAAACTAACAGAGTGGATGTTCGTTCACTTTCAAATTGTTTATCCTCATATAAGCTAATGTTCACCACATTGTGAATATTTTGTATTTTATATTGTTGCATCGTTCGCACTAGCACATCGTTGAGTCTTTTCATTTTTACATCCTCGCGTTTTTGCATCTTTCGGTCCCCACAAAATGTGCAAATTTGAGGATAAGTACAGACCCCCTCCTCCACTCCCCTTTGGCGAAAAAATGGATGCGCTTATCACATGCCAGTGATTCTGCTGGATTCAATAGGTAAATGGATAAGTTCATGCATGCACACATGTGGGGGTGGTCTTGTTATGTATGTACATGTAAGTGTGTAAACATGCAAAACGTGCGTCGATAAAATCCCCCCCTCCCAAAAGTGCAACCTTTGTGACGCGAAATGAAAACGAAGAATCATTACATCACTAGAGGAGCCCTCCAACGTTCATATATATATATATATATATATATGCGTACATGCATACATGCATACATGTTTTTAATTTAATTTTTTTTTTTTTACACATTCATGAATTTCTTATAACAAATCACCTTAATTTTATTATTTTATTTACTTATTTATTTTATTTTGCTTAAAGGAACCTGAATGGTTTATTTCTATATTGCGGACAAGATAACTTTTTTTTTTTTAAATTATCGTTTTTTCTTAAACGCGACCAGAACGTACGTCACTTCGTGATCTTAATTTCTTGTTGCTCATTCCTCATTGTTCACTCTGAGAAACTGCTGAAACACAGAGACCGAATTCTCAAGATGGTATACACACCCAAGGAAAAAAACATCCGCCTCGAAAGACACAGCGCGGGAAAGACTCAAGCCTATGGTGATTCAAGTGTGCGCGCAGGAACAGGGAAATTCAATTGGGGTAAAATGAAAACAAAATGTGTGCACAGAAAGGGACGAATGGAGCAAACCATCGTGAAGAGATACATTGTCCGAGCGCATTTATTTATGCACATGTTGATTGGTTTATTTACTGGTTAAGATGTTTGTCTGATATCTTTATTGATTTTTATATTTAATGATTTTTATTTATTCATTTATTTATTTTTTTTTTTTTTTTTTTTTACAACGCTTGTATGGTACATACCTACAGGCAATAAGACGACAGATGCCACTGCTGCAGATTGCAATCCCATGGATAAAAAAGACCCTATGTATGATAGCGAAATTGAAATAACCAACAAAGACGAGAAAAAAATAAAATAACATAAATGATTGAAATGAGGAATTTTTTGTTTTTTTAATCCTTAATTGAGTTTCGTATCTTTAACATTTATGTATGTGTGAACTTTTTATATTTAATTTTGTATATATATATATATATATATATATATATATATATATATATTTTTCCCATAACTGTGCGTGCAAAATGATCTGTACATGTTAATAAAAATGAGTGGAATTTTTTCTTGCCCCTGTACATGGGTGTCACACGGCTATCCACAAGGTGGAAAAAGAAGAAAAAAAAAGAAAAAAAAAAAAAATATTAATTACACAAAATGTTTATCATCTGAATGGCAGCATGAATAACAAGCCGATACTTTTTTTTTTTTTTTTACGGATTTATTTTCCGTGCGAAATTTGTCTAAATGGGGACAAATTTCGCACGGAAAATAAAAGAAAGACACATTATCCCTTGTACTACTTCAGCGCAGTGGCATAAGTATAAACGTGTAAAATGAGTTGAATTATTTTTTTTTTTTAATTCAGAAAAAGAGACAAATATATAAATGGTGACCTAAATGAATTGGTTTATAAGTGCTTATACGTATATGAACATCAATGTGTGAACACAGTTAAAATGTTATGAACAGTTAATAAAAAAAAAAAAAAAAAAAATGAAGAGTTTTTTTATCTATAAATAGACAAAACAGGGAAGGGGGATTTATATGTGTTTCTTTTTATTTCACACTAAGGCCAAATTAACCTTTCCACACACACACGTCCCTTGTGGTTATAAATTAAAATATAGAATTATCACTCGATTCTGCAACATCTGATGATGTACCTTCATCTTTGTTTAGAAGATTTCCGTTAAATATTTCGCAAATAGCAGAACTTTTGTTCACTGGTATGATGATATTTAAGAGGTGATATTTTTCCAAATAATGCGATATCGCTTTTGATGATTCAAAATAAAAAGGAAAGCGTATATTGAAATTCTTGTACGGAGGATTGTGTCCTGGTGGAAATACAGGAGATCTGAAAAAGGAAAAAAAGAAATTACATTCCACATATTCGCATATATGTGTGCGGTGTTAAAACTTTTTTTTTTTTTTTTTTTTTTTTTGTTAGGTCGTTAAATTGGTCAGGTGAAAATGTTAAACTTGGGGGATTTTTTGTTTTAGCGTTTTTGCTTTCTTGTGCATTTTAGCTATTTTTGCACATTTTAGCTATTTTTGCACATTTTAGCTATTTTTGCACATTTTAGCTATTTTTGCACATTTTAGCTATTTTTGCACATTTTAGCTATTTTTGCACATTTTAGCTATTTATGCCCATTTTAGCTAATTGTCCATTTTAGCTATTTGTCCATTTTAGCTATTTATGCCCATTTTAGCTATTTTTCCCCATTTTAGCCATTTTCCCCACTTTTCTTTTCTCTCTCCGCACTCCTTACGAACTTCTTAAAAAATACACCCAGGTGCTCATCGCTTATGTACAGATTTACTAAATGGTGGACGAAAAACGGTTCATCCTCATTTCTGCCATTGCGTTGGGCTAGGACGAAAAAAGGGAGCTGAATTTGAATGACACATATTGTGTTTATCACCTGCTGGTAACGTAAAAATTCGTCATCTAATTCGATATTGTAATCATTCAAAAAGGATTTGAAATTTTCGTTCTTTGATATTTTTTTATTTTTTTTATTTTTATTGGAATTTAAAAAAGGGGGTTTAAAATCAAAGCAATCAATTTTATCTTTCATTGGGAATGTGCGCAAATAGGGTACATAAAACTTAGTCAGTTTTCTATGCCTTTCCTCTAGTGTCTTTTTATCAACAAACCACATGTCCCACTCTGGTTTCTTAACAGATAGGAAATTTTCAATATCTTCTTTGTTCAACAGGTCTTTCATCTCATTATTGTTGCTTCGATTGTTGAGACAATCGGGCAAATAATCACCAGTTCCTTTGTTTCTACCTCCTCCACTGTTCTCTTGTTCGTCTTGCTTCACCTCCTCCTGCACTACATTAAACTTGTGCTGTTGGTCGTCCTTTATGTATTGGTCATCTGGTGTACTTCCTGCACATTGTATAGTAGTTTGTAGTAAAAGCTTATACAACCAAGAAAATTACATCCAATTTATTCACATATATATGCATATACACATGAAAGATGGTGAAAAAAAAATTGTTCTATTTTATTTTTTATTTTTTTCTTGGAAAAAATTTGTCGACCTTTGTACTTATGTTCAGGAAAAAAAAATAAGTTGGTGCAAGTGTCCATTTTGTACTTATTTTTGATAGCTACCTGCACCAATTCAGCAATAACTTTTTTTAATTCCACATTTTTTTTACACTGTGAAACAACACTGGAATTAAGAACGATGTCATAAGTTTTGTATTTGTTGCCCTTTTTATCTTCTTTCTGTTTTTCCTCCCCAATACTTAAAGGAATTCTCAATCCTTCGTTATCATTTAGGTCTGGCATTTTTTTTAAATGAAATTCAGCAATCAAACTGGATGATAGAATGTTGAAGTATACTTTTCCACCATCTTTATCATATGTTTTTATAACAAAACCTTTTTGAGGACTTATTTTTATTGTCTTCTCGTTTTTCACTAAATTGATCAGGCTGGAAGTGGAAAATTCAAAGTTTCTCTCACCTGCCTTGAAATACCTATCGTAAAATTTGTCCATTTTTTATAAAATTTTTTTCTGCTTTTTTCTTAAATGGATCAAAATGCCGTAATGGAATAATGTAAAAGGATAATACTGTGTCTTTACCAGCTGTGATAAAAGTTGGGAAAACAATGCGGGAATATCTTATTAACACTTGTGATAATAACAGATTATGTTGGCATAGAGGGGGAAGGGAGAAACAAAAATGTAAGCGAAAAAGAGAGAGACAAGGTGAGCAAAAAAGTAACCGAAAGAGTAAACGAAAAAACAAACGAAAAAAAAATCAACTTCTCCTTTCTTCGTAGGTATCTAATAATATGATATATATTTTTTTTTTTTTTTTTTTTTTTTTTTTTCGAAAAACAGAATGCTGTTTAGTCAGTTCGACATGATTCTCCATGTAGTTCCTTATAACGTGTGGGTGTACCCGGATCATATTTTCCTTTTTTTATATGCACACCTTTGGTGCGTAAGGAAAAAGAGGAGTGATAGAATTTAAACATTCTTAAGCTTTGTTAACTAATTTTCGTGGACGCATATATGTGGTCAATTTACCTTTGTTAAGTAGCACATGTGTATATGTACATGTGGCACATTTTAAAGCATTTATTTTACTTTATTTTTAAGATTTCTTAAAACTCGATCTTTTCATCGTAGTTTTTCGGGTAAAATAAAAAAAAAAAAAAATGTGGATTTTTAAAACAAAATTTATTAAAGTTAAAGAGTTCCTTTATTATTACGTTTATCGAAGTTAGAGCATTTTAAATTTTAATAGTGTACACCGTAAAGAGGAGAAAGAAAGAAAAAAAAGAAAAATACTCTGGAAAACACTTTACAGGCATCCACACAGATACAGATAAATATATATATCCATGTAAGCCCACATATGTATGCAAACCTACATATTTATATACACCCATGTGATGGTCTTCTACATCTGCAACAGTGGGATGGACGTGATATGTCACATATATACACACGCACTTCTCTTTTTTTTTAACAAGTATTATACTTGTTATTCGATATTTTGCTCTTTCATCTCCAAGTTTCTACCATCTGGGGGTACATCTATTATGGGTTAACCCTTGCTGTTTTTACATGGACTGCTGACATGATTTCAGCGAGTCAGCATAATTTTGACATAAACTAATGTCAGCATGTCTCGTCAGGCACTGTTTGTATGTGGAAGGAAGGGGAAAATAATAATGTCGTGATGGAATTAATAAGGTATGTAAATAGATGGAAAATATGTATCATCACCTGACAATGCAAAGTCTCGTGCGTACAGAAACGTATAAAATGAACCATGTGCTTATACAGTTCATGGATCCTTGCAGCACATAAGAATATGCACATCATGTAAAGGGAGAATTCGTTTAAGGGTACTAAATCATGTAAAAGAGTTTTTTTTTCCTTTTTTTTCTCCCTCTCTTCCTATCTCTTTTCATCTACTATGGTGTGCCTCATTTGTGTAGTACCTGATTAAGTTCATCCTTAAACGATTTGCACTTGTAATCACTATTCCTTTCAGTATTCATAGCTGCTGCTTGATTCATCTGTGTGTTATTATTTTGGTGAGAAACTTCAACATGTCTTGGACCCAAAATGGCATCTACAGCCCTTTGGGCAATTCCAAACCCAACACCTGATGCCATTCCACTAGCAACAGTTCCCATCATATTGGATACCAATCCACCCGATTTTTGTTGTGGTTGCATTGCTCCTCCTGAATAACTCTGGGCGCTTGTGGCATTTCCTCTGCTAACTCCACTTGATGAATTCGGTTTAAGAAAGGATGATCTTGAGCCTGTCAATTGGGTTACAGATTTGAATGCATATGTGTGTGGTGGGAAGTTAAAATTATTCATGGATTTTTTTACATAACTTTATTTTTTCATTCAGACATGAAGTGACAAATAATGTAACAATGTAAACGGTCTCATTTTAGCTTCATCAGTAACAGACAAAATGAACAAAAATTAAAGGTGTGCAAATGTGTCCAATGTTACACATTTCTTCATACTTGAAGTAATATATTTTTTAGGTATACATTTTTTTTTTTTTTTTTTTTTGCTTTCGAATAGTACGCTTGTATTAATATTCCTCCCAACTCTTTATCACACACAGCTTTGTCATGAATACATTCAGCATGCATGGATGTATTATGAACCTTTTTTTTTTTTTTTTTTTTTTTTTTTTTCCCTATTCTTCACTCCTTAAACTTACTTAAACCACCTGAACGGCTCTTGGATGAACGTCCCATGTTTCCAATGTTTATATGAAAAAAGGGGGAATATAGTCTTCAAAGTTTTTTTTTTTTTTTTTTTTTTTTTTTTTTTTTCCCTTTTTTTTTTAAACCTCCT